GTCTCCTGGGTTCAGGCAATTCTCCTGCCTCAGCCTCCTGAGTAGCTGGGATTACAGGCACGCGCCACCATGCCCAGCTAATTTTTTGTATTTTTAGTAGAGACGGGGTTTCACCTTGTTGACCAGGATGGTCTCGATCTCTTGACCTTGTGATCCACCCGCCTCGGCCTCCCAAAGTGCTGGGATTACAGGCTTGAGCCACCGCGCCCGGCCAGCACTTGTTTTTTCTAATTTTTATTCCCATGATAACCATCCCTCTAGCTAATATATATTTTTTTAATCAGTGATAACTGCTACAGGACAGTTTCCTAGAAGTGGAATGAATAAGTCAAAAGTTGTGCACAATTTTAGGTTTTGTTTTTTTGCCAAGACAGGGTCTTGCTCTCCCTCTCAGGCTGGAGTGCAGTATTGAGGTCATAGCTCACCGCATCCTCAACCTTCCAGGCTCACGTGATCCTCCTGCCTTAGCCTCCTGAGTAGCTTGGGACTACAAATGCCAGCCACCAGGCCCTCTAGAGAAGTTTTGCTTTGGAATTCTTACCTGGAGTATGGGAGTGGTTGCTTCTCAATCCCTTAATAAGCGTTATTTATTTTTTCCTTCTACCAGTTTAGTAGGTGGAGTGCAGTGGTGCAAACCCCACCTCCTGGGTTCAGGCAATTCTCCTGCCTCACCCTCCTGAGTAGTTGGGACTAAAGGCTTGTGCCACCATGCCACCATGCCACCACGCCTGGCTGCTTTTTTTTTTTTTTTTTTTTTTTTGGGACGGTCTCCCTCTGTTGCCCAGGCTGGAGTGCAGTGGTGCGATCTTGGCTCACTGCAACCTCTGCCTCCTGGGTTCAAACAATTCTCCTGCCTTAGCCTCCTGAGTAAGTGAGAGTACAGGCACGCTCCACCACGCCCAGCTAATTTTTGTATTTTTAGTAGAGATGGTGTTTCACCATGCTGGTCAGGCTGGTCTTGGAACTCCTGACGTCGTCATCTGCCCGCCTTAGCCTCCCATTGGAACTACAGGCGTGAGCCACTGCACCCGGCTCGTGAAAATCTTAATACCATTGTGAATGGTTTACAATTTTTTTTGAGACGGAGTCTCGCTCTGTTGCCCAGGCTGTAGTGCTGTGGCACAATCTTGGCTCACTGCAACCTCAGCCTCCCGGGTTCAAGCCATTCCACTGGCTCAGCCTCCTAAGTAGCTGGGATTACAGACGCATGCCACCACGCCCAGCTAATTTTTGTATTTGTAGTAGAGACGGGGTTTCACCATGTTGGTCAGGCAGGTCTCGAACTCCTGACCTCATGATCCGCCCGCCTAGGCGCCTCAAAGTGTTCGGATTACAGGCGTGAGCCACTGCGCCTGGTGGTTTACATTTTTTATTTTTATTTTTATTTTTATTTTAGATAGAGTGTAGATCTTTTGCCCAGGCTGGAAAGCAGTTGCGCGATCTTGGCTCACTCTAACCTCCACTTCCAGGGTTCAAACGATTCTTGCATGGTTTATATTTTGATAGGCTTATTGATCATATTATCCAATTATTTGTGAGTTTCCTGTTCACATCCTTTGCCTATATTTTTTGGGGGGTGACCCTTGTTAATTTGTAAGAGCTCTTTATGTATAGGCGTATCAGTTTTCTAACAGTACAGAAGTCTTGGCTGGGAGTTGAAACCCCAGGTTAGAAGGCGATCCTTGGACTTTTTCGGCCTGATGGCAAGCCTGTGCTGGTGTAGGAATAACACAGCCGGCCTCAGTGGGAGGTCGCCAGGTTTGAAGATCAGGCCCGCCCCTGGAGCATTCAGTGCTGCCGGGTCTGGCCCTCCGGACCCCGCCTGTGACTGCTGGAGGCCACAGTGCGCAGGAGCGGAAGCCAGGCTGCCCTTCCCCCACTCGCTTCCGGCCGAGGCTCGGTTCTCCCGCCTCCGCCTCTGCCGCGCTCGTGGTTGTCCCGCCATGGCACTGTCGCGGGGCCTGCCCCGGGAGCTGGCTGAGGCGGTGGCCGGGGGCCGAGTGCTGGTGGTGGGCGCGGGCGGCATTGGCTGCGAGCTCCTCAAGAACCTCGTGCTCACCGGCTTCTCCCACATCGACCTGGTGAGGCCCGGGCGCGCGCGGTTGAATGGCGGGCTGTGGTGCGGGGGCCGGGGTTCGGGGGTTCTGGAACTCTCGTGGCTCTGAGGCTTGGGGCCCCTAGCCCAGGACCGAAGTTGCGGGGCGGGGGCAAGCTGAAAGGCCCGGGTTGTGTGGCCTCTCGCGGGAGGGGACTGTTCTTTGGGGACTGGGCGGGCGTCTGCTCGCTGGGCCGGCTTCGGACGCCGAGGAGGCCGCGTGCCCCCGCCTCCCCGGCAGCGCCAATGTGTGGCGCTTCTAGGGCGTGAAGCCGCCTTGTATCCTCGCTTCAAAACAAATCCCCAGCTGCTAGGGGATACGGAAGAGGACGGAGTCCCTCGCGGATATCGTAACTTTAATTTGGAGGTCGCCCTCCTAGCTCTGAAGTAACGACCCAGGGCGGAGGGTGGTGGTGATAGCGACCAACGCGTCCCGAGCACTGGTCGCGAGCTGGTGTACACACAGAACGCGCTCCATCTTCACATCACCCGAGGACTGCAAACGCTGTTTCCACCGTGCTTTATTTTTAACAGATGAGGAAAGGGAGACGCAGTGGGGTTGAGTAACTTACCCTGGGTCACGGAGCGAGTGGCAAGGCTCCCGCAGGCTGCGTGACTGTCATTGCTCTCGCAGTAGATGGTACACTCGCTTGTTTCATTAAAGACTTTAGGATTGTGCCCTTTGCATTGGTGTACACTGACAAGAAGCCAGTGTTATTTTGCATCAAGTTGTTCCTACTAATGCAAACTTTATTTAGAGATTGGAGATGCTACCTGGCCCTTGGGTGTGAGTTGAAAGTGTTTTAAGGGCCAGTGGAAACATGGAATGAACAAAAAAGTAGAGCTGGCCTACTGAATCATTGTTTCTTTCCTTTATATATTATATATTTAAGCATAAATTAGATCACATTGAAAACATGACACTTTTTTTAACCATGTGTAAAAGTTTCCTTTCACAGTTCTCAGGTTAATAGTAAAGGAAATTGTGTATGGATGAAGACGAATTAAGGGAGGCAGCAAAAATTCAGTAAATGTTAGCCATGTATCATTCAAGAAAAAGAACACAACTAGGGGAACATAGGGAAACCCCCGTCTCTACAAAAAAAAAAAAAAAAAAGAGCTGGGTATGGTGGCATGCACCTGTGGTCCCAGCTACCCAGGAAGCTGTGCCTGGAGGATCGCTTGAGCCTGGGAGGTCGACGCTGCAGTGAACTGTCTTTGCACCACTTCACTTCAGCCTGGGCGACAGAGTGAGACCCTGTCTCAAAAAAAAACGAAGAAAAAGAACACAGCACAGTTAAATTTAATATTTTGTATTTGATAGAGTAATTAGATTGATAGAGAAATACTTTTTTGTTTTTTGAGACAGGTTCTCACTCTGTCACCTCGGCGGGTGTGCAGTGGCACGATCTCAGCTCACTGCAACCCCTGCCTACCACGCTCCAGTGGTCCTCTCACCTCAGCCTCCCAAGCAGCTGTGACTACAGGCATGCGCCACCATGCCCGCTAATTTTAATTGTTCTATTTCTTGTAGCCACCAGGGTCTCAACTATGTTGCGTAGACTGGACTTGAATGCCTGGCTCGATCCATTTTCTCACATTGTCTCCCAAAGTGTTGGGATTGTAGGTGTGAGCCACCACTCCTGGCCCAGAGAAATATTATTTTCAGTTAGTGTTTACCTCGACAGCCCATATATATTTTTTTCTTCGGTTTTTTTGTTTGTTTGTTTGTTTGTTTTTTGAGACAGAGTTTCGCATTTGTTACCCAGGCTGGAGTGCAATGGTGCGATCTTGGCTCACTGCAACCTCCGCCTCCTGGGTTCAAGCGATTCTCCTGTCTCAGCCTCCTGAGTAGCTGGGATTGTAGGCATTCACCACCACGCACGGCTAATTTTGTATTTTTTGCTAGAGACAGGGTTTCTCTATGTTGGCCAGGCTGGTCTCGAACTCCCAACCTCAGGTGATCTGCCCACCTTGGCCTCACAAAGTGCTGGGATTACAGGTGTGAGCCACCAAGCTTGGTCAACAGCACATATATTTTTAATAAATTTACGTGTATTTTTATGGCATATGATTAAACAAAAAATGCCATCCTTTTCAAAGTATTTTTGAGAAGATTATCTCTGACATTAAATCTAGATTTTTACGTGCGTTAAATTATTCTTTATCAGTTTAATAATTTTGGTATGGCGGATTCGAAAAATGTTTTCTCCACTAGTGTAGCAAATATCAAAGGTTCTGGATTATAGGTGCTGAGGGTAGTGATACAGCTTAAACATACCAGAACTTTTGTCATTTATCTGGGGTTTATGCATTTGTAGATTGATCTGGATACTATTGATGTCAGCAACCTCAACAGACAGTTTTTGTTTCAAAAGAAACATGTTGGAAGATCAAAGGCACAGGTAACTATATTTCTCATACCATTTCTATAATTCTTTGATGGAGCTTCTGTTTGTGATACCAGATTAATTCTACCTGTCCTGTAGGAGGGAAAAAATGGGCTGAGGGATTGTGAAGGATAAAAATATATCAAGTAAAGGACTAAAGATTAAACCCTCCTTTTTTGGTCTAAAAAGGAAATCATCCATGAATGGTGTGACTTTCATGGCCTTTTCATATTTAAGTTTCTAATGGTTACTTAGTATGCACTTCATATTCCTTCACCCCCTAGAGGTTGACTACTGCTGTGTTTGGGGGCTAGAGGAGCTACAGCCTATGCTGCTGTCCTCGTTGAAACAAGACAGTTTCCCCTGACCTTTGTTTAGTTTTTTAAATGTCCCTTGGTGATTCAGAGTCTCCCCCCGACCCCCATGGAGTCTTGCTCTGTCCCCTAAGCTGGATTGCAGTGGCGTGATCTCGGCTCACTGCAGTCTCTGCCTCCTGGGCTCAAGTTATTCTCCTGCCTCAGCCTCCCGAGTAGCTGGGATTACAGGTGTGCGCCACCACGTCTGGCTAATTTTTTGTATCCTTAGTAGAGACAGGGTTTCACCATGTTGACCAGGCTGGTCTCAAACTCCTGACCTGCCTCAGCCTCCCAAAGTGCTGGGATTACTGGTGTGAGCCACCATGGGCCCGGCTGATTCAGAGTCTTCTTTTTTGTGTGTGTGATGGAATTTCAATATTGTTGCTCAGGCTGGAGTGCAATGGCTCTATCTCCGCTCACCGCAACCTCCGCCTCCGCCTCGTGGGCCCAAGTGATTCTCCTGCCTCAGCTTCCTGAGTTGCTAGAATTGCAGGCATGCGCCACCAAGCCCAGCTAATTTTTTGTGTTTTCCTTTTTTTTAGTAGAGGCGGGGTTTCTCTGTGTTGGTCAGGCTGGTCTCAAGCTCCCAACCTCAGGTGATCTGCCCGCCTTGGCCTCCCAGACTGCTGAGATTACAGCCATGAGGCACTGTGCCCGGCTGTTTCAGAGTCTTAAAACATCTTTTCCCTTTGCCTGTCTTTCAGCCTGTTTGGCAACCCTCCACTTGTTTTTCCTTTTCATCTTTTGGCTTCCTTCTCCAGGAGTACTTTCCTAAACCTTTTATACTAAGTCAGGTTGGCATTTCTCATAACAACTTTTACTTTTCCTATCATTTTCTGGTTTTTGTTTGTTTGTTTGAGATAGAGTCTCTGTCACCCAGGCTGGAATTGCAGTGATATGGTGGTCATGGCTCACTGCAGCCTGGAACTCCTGACCACAAGGGATCCTCCCACCTTGATCTCCCAAGTGCTGGGATTACAGGCATGAGCTACCATGCCTGGCCTTTTCTTATCATTTTAATGTCATTTATCATCACAGTTCATAAATTTACCTGGATGGCTATTTGATTAATGTCTCTATTGCTCGACATGTACATTATATAGTTCCTGGTACATACAAGATGCGCAGTAAATACTTTAAGTGAGTGAACGAATGATACTTGGTTACTTCATGTTGTATATTTGCTGAAGCTTGCCATTCATGTAGAAGTGTGTTTGGTGGTACATGGGTCAGTGGGGGTGGTCTTGTTATAAGTATAGGGTATAAAATGTGTGTAGCTTAATCCTAATGCAATTTTGTCACATTTTTGGACTTATTTGGTGTTTAATATGAATAAGGTACTATGTAAGTAGATAAACAACAGCATTGTGGCTTCCAGAAGCAGGTTTCAGATAGGAACAGAAAAGTTGTAGTAATTCAGTGTTGTTTATTTTTCCAGGTTGCCAAGGAAAGTGTACTGCAGTTTTACCCGAAAGCTAATATCGTTGCCTACCATGACAGCATCATGAAGTATGCTCTAACGATTACATTGCAAAGTTGTGTAAAGTATAAGGGTTTTGTAAGACAAATATATAAGCTCAAAGTCATTCAGCTTTTTAAAAATGATTTTTCTAGAATTATTAAATAGTTGTAATTTCTGCTCACAAAATAGCATTCTTTTTACCAGTTCATAAATACATGGTTTGAATGATTTAGATAAGCAGTGAGATATTTTAATACTTTTAATAAGTAGGTTACTTGGAAATTTATAAAGACCTTATATTCTTGCCTTAAGTAAGAAGATACTTTATGAAATATCCTTATTTATGATGATGCAGACTTTTCTAAAGTGTTTGCCTTTTTCTGTTTAAAAGGTTCCTTCCCAGGCCGGGCGCGGTGGCTCACGCCTGTAATCCCAGCACTTTGGGAGGCTGAGGCGGGCGGATCACAAGGTCAAGAGATCAAGACCATCCTGGCCAACACGGTGAAACCCCGTCTCTACTAAGAATACAAAAGTTAGCTGGGCGTGGTGTTACATACCTGTAGTCCTAGCTACTTGGGAAGCTGAGGCAAGAGAATCCATTGAACCCAGGAGGCAGAGGCTGCGGTGAGCCAGGATCGCACCACTGCACGCCATCCTGGCAACACAGCAAGACTCTGTCTCAAAAAAAAAAAAAGTTCCCTCCCAAAATAATCTGTTTATTAGAACTCTGACTTCTGTAGTATAACACTTGGAATTGTGGTAGGGCAGTAGTATTGACAGTACATAAATATATTCATCTCACTAAAGAGAAATAGAGTAAATATATAATTTAGGAGGTGTTGGAGCAAAGGAACTGTGGGCCGAAATTGTCCGTTATTTATGGTAGTTTAGCTCACAAGTAAATGGTATTAAAAATAATCCTTATTTGAGGTACTTATACTGTCTCAGGGCATTTGTGTCTCCAGCTTGTTTTTTAATGACTGAATGTTTACTCTCTGAACCTGCCTATAGCCCTGTAACCTCCTTACCCTATGTTGCTTTCCCAGTGCTGCTAAAAGCAGAGACCCTAGGGGCCTGAACCTTGCCTGATCCTTATCATGTGAAGTGAAGCCAGAGGCCAGGCAGATCCTGGGAATGTGTTCTTGATGTGTTCCCAGGCACTCGCTGCCCAAAGAAGGCCTAGCGGGACTAGTAGAAGTCATGCCATCTTTCTGCCAGTTTGAGATCCTTCTCTTGTGCCCTAGGTAGCGGGCCAAAAATGATAGGAATTTGAGAGAAATAATTTCTTTAATATCTGCTTATGTTTGGAAACAGTCAAACCTTAACTATTTATATGGCATATAATCCTAATATCAGTTTTGTTTACGCTTATGCTTTTTCAGAACTGTTTATTATATTGCAAAGATCATGTGGAAGGCCAGTTTTGGTGACCTTTTTTATTTTGTTTTGTAGCCCTGACTATAATGTGGAATTTTTTCGGCAGTTTATATTGGTTATGAATGCTTTAGATAACAGAGGTGAGATTATTTTAATACTTTCAATTTCTCAGTATTTCCTGTTCCCCATATCAAATTGGTTTACAAATTTAATATTTATTAAGACTATTTACTTGTGATTTAGAAATTAAAAGATGGAATGGAAGTGATCATGTTTTAAGCTCCCCCACTGATGGCAGTTTTATATAGAAATGACTTATTCCAGGTGGGAATTTAGCTATCATATTCTCTGCATTTCTTCCAAAAGGTAGAAACAAAATTGAATTGAAAAGCTCTGAAAAAGTGTTACTGTGGCTGGGCACAGTGGCTCATGCCTTTGATCCCAGCACTTTGAGAGACCGAGGCAGGAGGATCACTTGAGGTCAGGAGTTCAAGACCAGCCTGGCCAACACGGTGAAACCTCGTCTCTACCAAAAAACACAAAAATTAGTCAGTGTGGTGGCATGTGCCTGTAGTCCCAGCTTCTTCAAAGGCTGACGTGGGAGAATGGCTTGAACCCAGGAGGCAGAGGTTGCAGTGGGCCTAGATCACACCACCGCACTCCAGCATTGGTAACAGAGTTCAATCCTGTTTGGAAAAAAAAAGTATGACTGGAGGGTGGGGTGGAAATGCTTCGGTGATATTTTTGCCTGTAATTACTTGAACATGTAAAAGTATATCTGTCAAGTGAATTTGCAACAAGCTGGGCAAGAAATACCAAAACAAAAAAACAGAAGGAAAAGTCAAAATTACTTTCATATATATATATTTTTTCTTTTTTTTTTTTCTTTTATATATTTTTTAAGGCTGGTGGAGGGGTCTCACTGTTGCCCAGGCTAGAGTGCAGTAGTGTGATCATAACTCACTACAGCCTTCAGATGGGCTCAGGTAATATTCTTGCCTCAGCTCCGCAGTAGCTGAGACTACAGTCATGCGCCACCACACCCAGCTAAATTTTTTTATTTTTTTTGTGGAGATGAAGTCTTGCTTTGTTGCCCAGGCTGGTCTGGAACTCCTGGCTTCAAGCAGTCCTCTCATCTCAGACTCTGAAAATGTTGAGATTATGGGGGTGAGCCACTGCTCCCAGCGTGGAATTACTCTCTTAACCTGACTCATCTTTTTTCCTAAACTACTTTAACAGTTCCAAGCTGGTATTCTACACTCTGCCTTCACTTCTATTGTATGTTATCAGATAATTATATTAGAATAATGGTGAGTTAAGGAACACCTTGAAGCAATGTTTTCTGTAAGGTACAGAAATAGAAGAGAAAGATGGCACTGTGGATTTTTAAAATCATGTGTTTCTGTGGGTGCTTTTTCTGGGGTAAATTTGTGATATAAATTCTATTTGTTTGATATTTTGCTAAATGAATGTCGCTTAAATGTCTATAATTAACAGTTGTATTACTTTGGCCCTATCCATAAGAAAATTGTACGACTGGGTGCGGTGGCTCACACCTGTAATCCCAGCACTTTGGGAGGCCAAGGCGGGCATATCACAAAGTGAGGAGATCAAGACCATGCTGGCCAACATGGTGAAACCCTGTCTCTACTAAAAATACAAAAAAATACATATTAGTTGGGCATGGTGGTGCATGTCTGTAGTCCCAGCTACTTGGGAGGCTGAGGCAGGAGAATTGCTTGAACCCAGGAGGTGGAGATTGTGCCACTGCACTACAGCCTGGGCAACAGTGTGAGACTCTGTCTCAAAAAAAAAAAAAAAAGAAAAGAAAAAAAATTGTACAAAAAATGAAGTCAATATGATAGTTTTGGGTCTGTGCCATACTAATTAAAGATAACTAATTTGATTTTTCAAAAACTCATACTGTTTTTTTACTTCCAGCTGCTCGAAACCATGTTAATAGAATGTGCCTGGCAGCTGATGTTCCTCTTATTGAAAGTGGAACTGCTGGGTATCTTGGACAAGTAACTACTATCAAAAAGGTAAAGAAAAGTTTAATTTTTGTTTAATTTCCCAAATATTTATTTGGAAACTAGGAGGGGGAGGAAATAAACTTTGTTTTTATATAAAATGAGCAGATGGATATCCAAAATGTAAGGATTTTTATGCTCATATAAAACTTAGGATTCTATAAAGGTGCCTAAAAGACTATGGGTAAGGAAATCTTTCAGCTCTGCCATTTTGTTTCAATTAACCTGTGTAAATGAATCCTTAGACTGGTAAGTGTGATCTACCAGGCATCAAAAATTTCTTTTTGTTGGCTGGGTACGGTGGCTCACACCTGTAATCCAAACACTTTGGGAGGCTGAGGCAGGTGGAATACCTGAGGTCAGGAGTTCAAGACCAGCCTGGCCAACATGGTGAAATCTAGTCTCTACTGAAAATACAAAAAATTAGGCGCAGTGGTGTGCACCTGTAGTCCTAGCTACTTGGGAGGTTGAGGCAGGAGAATTGCTTGAGCCCAGGAGGTAGAGCTTGCAGTGAGCTGAGATTGTGCCATTACACTTTAGCCTGGGCAATGAGAGTGAAACTCTATCTCAAAAAAAAATTCTATTGTCTAAAAGAGTCTGGGTTTATAGAGTGGAAGGGAACTTTGAAAACTTTTTAGGGGTGGCTCACACCTGTAATCCAAACACTTTGGAGGCCAAAGCAGGCGGATCACTGAGATCGGGAGTTCAAGACCAGCCTGACCAACATGATGAAACCCTGTCTTTTTAAAAAAAAAAAAAAAAAAAACTTTTTAGGGGTATATTTGTGAAGTATTTCAAACATTTAAATACAACTAGAGAATAATAGAGCAAAATACCTGTGTGTTCATACCTCAGTTTTTAAAACCTCAGCACAGCTTCATTTGCTGTACAGATCTTTCTTCTTACAGTTCAAGATCATGAGGTCAAGAGATCGAGACCATCCTGGTCAACATGGTGAAACCCCGTCTCTACTAAAAATACAAAACATTAGCTGGGCATGGTGGTGCGTGCCTGTAATCCCAGCTACTCAGGAGGTTGAGGCAGGAGAATTGCCTGAACCCAGGAGGCGGAGGTTGTGGTGAGCCGAGATCACGCCATTGCACTCCAGCCTGGGTAACAAGAGTGAAACTCCGTCTCAAAAAAAAAAAAGAAATTAAATATCGTAGATACATTTGAGGAATTGTTTTCCACGTTTTAAAACTATAGAAAGAGAATTATACCATACTTAACATTTGCTGGTTGTCTCTTAATATTTTTTTGGCAGCTTATCCATGTTAGAAATTTGGCTTTATTTGTTTTAACTGTTAAATGTTATTCTTGGAACCTTATTCAATACCATTCTGCAAAAGACCATTATGTATGTCAGTATGTATTAGATTGTTAAATAAGTGCAGGCCTTCAGTATCTATTGACAGATCAAGGCGGAAGTTCTCTGTCTGCATTGCAATATGAGTCTCATGACTGCATGTCGTGTGCCTACCCTCAAGAAAGCATATTGGATGATTCATCAGAAATGGTGTTTTGAAGAAAACTAAGTCTGCTGCAATTTATGTTAAAATAGTATTTTGCTCGCGCCTTAGGAAGGAAAAAAAACAGTATTTGACAGTTTTGGCTGCTCTGAGTTATGATCACACCACTACACTCCAACCTGGGTGATAGAGTGAGATCTTGTCTTTATTTTATTATTTATTTTAAAAAATATTTTGAGATGGAGTTTTACTCTTGTCGCCCAGGCTGGAGTGCAGTGGCACAGTCTCGGGTCATTGCAACCTCCACCTCCCAAGTTCAGGCCATTCTTATGCCTCAGCCTCCTGAGTAGCTGAGATTACAGACAGGTACTGCTACACCTGGCTAATTTTGTGTTTTTACTAGAAATGAGGTTTCACCATGTTAGCCAGGCTGGTCTCGAACTTCTGACCTCAAGTGAGAGATCCTGTCTTTTAAAAAAAAGACTGAAGTTAGGAATATCTGAGATGATGAAAGATTATTCATTTGATAGTTTTGAAAAGTTGTCTCAGGTGTCATAAACTTCTTCAAAGGCATAAATTCCTTAAATTATAACTTAAAATTTGGATGTATATCAATAAAATGGGCTGGGTGCAGTGGCTTACGCCTGTAATCCCAATACTTTGGGAGGCCGAAGTGGGCAGATCCATGAAGTCAGGAGTTCAAGACCAGCCTGGCCAACGTCGTGAAACCCCATGTCTACTAAAAATAAAAAAAAATTAGCCAGGCTTGATGGCAGACACCTGTAATCCCAGCTATTCAAGAGGCTGAGGCAGGAGAATGGCTTGAATCTGGGAGGCAGAGGTTGCAGTGAACCAAGATCACACCACTGCACTCCAGCCTGGACAACAGAGCGAGACTCCGTCTCCCTCCCAAAAAAAGTATATCAATAAAATGAAGAGTATATGGTTTAGTAATACATAGGATTTTTCTGCGTACGTAGTTATATCTTGAAATTAACGTTTAGTTTAATTTACAGGGGATTACAAGGATATGGTTAATATTCACCAGACCCACTTAGTTTTGCTCAAAAAAAAAAAGAAAAAAATGCAAGGATATGGCTGTGAATATTTAAATAACATTTACAACTTTCAGAAGTAATTTGTTGGAAAGCTGCTGTTTGTCTTTCCAGTAGTTTTTCTGTTTAGTGCAATCAAGGTAAACTCAGGTGTAATAATTTTTATTTGGCTTGTAAATCTTGTTCGTTGAGCCAGGCGTTGGAGTCCTGGCACAGCCTTAGCTGTGACTTGGTAGATTCAGTTAGCTTTTGTGTTAGTTTATCGTAAAATAGGGATTTTGGAGTCACTAATACTTTAAAATTTCTTGACAACATAAAACCTAGTTGGAATATAGATGAATGAGTGTTTATATTACCTTATAATGTTGAGAAACTACCATAATGGAGTAACTATTTTTCTCATACTCTGACTTCGTAGGGTGTGACTGAGTGTTATGAATGTCATCCTAAGCCAACCCAGAGAACCTTTCCTGGCTGTACAATTCGTAACACACCTTCAGAACCTATACATTGCATCGTTTGGGCAAAGTACTTGTTCAAGTAAGAGCGTGTATATTTCTTGGCATGCTTTTCGGTACTGGTGATGGAAAATGGAGTTGTTTTTATTTAATTTTCTTGAAGAGATTGAACTTAGGATGTTTAAATAGGGTGAAGGGACGCTTTAGTAGATTTCTTGTAGTATTTTTTAGGTTAAATTCAGCCAGCTTGGCACGGTGGCTCACACCTGTAATCCCAGCACTTTGGGAGGCTGAGGTGGTCGGACCACCTGAGGTCAGGAGTTCGAGACCAGCATGGCCAACCCCCCGCCCCGTCTCTACTAAAAAATATAAAAATTAGCTGCACATGGTGGTGCCCCTATAATCTCAGCTACTCAGGAGACTGAGCCATGAGAACCACTTGAACCTGGAAGGTAGAGGTTGAAGTGAGTGGAGATGGCACTACCGCACTCCCGCCTGGGGGACAGCTTGAGACTCTGTCTCCAAAAAAGAAAAACATTAACTAACTCAAAAGGAAATAGAAAGCCTGAATATAGCACTCTACCTTAGAGAAACATAATAGTTTAAATTCTTCTAAATAATGCACCAGACCTGTGTGATTTTTAGATTCATTTCATTAAACTTGCAGAGAGTATATTATAATATTTGCTAAAATCTCCCCAAGGAATTTTTAAAAGGGAATACAACTTAGCTCATGTTATGAGGCTAGCAAATGTTTTTGATAGCAAAACCTGTCAAGGTCATTATGGCATAAGAAAAAATTGCTAGTCAGTCTCACACATAAATAATAGATGCAAAAATCCTATATAAAATATTAGCATATGGGGCCAGACGCGATGGATTACACCTGTAATCCCAGCACTTTGGGAGGCTGAGGTGGGTGGATCACCCAAGGTCAGGAGTTTGAGGCCAGCCTGGCCAACGTGGCAAAACTCCATCTCTACTAAAAATACAAAAATTAGCTGGATGTGGTGGCGGGTGCCTGTAATCCCGGCTACTCAGGAGGCTGAGGCA